TTTCAAAAGGGATCCTAAAGGTGGCAATATATACTAGCCATACATATACAAGGGCTAAAGGCCTAAAGCTAACCAAGCTCAAGCCTCTGCGTCTCTTCCCGATGGCACACGCCCGGAACCTTCACCTGAAAACATTGTAAACCACGGGGTGAGACAACGTTCCAGTAACCAATCTTTCCAATTCAAGGTACTACTAAATACGTGCTCGTGAGGTGTCAAGCGGGGCAGTTCACAAGTAATATGATAAATGATAGCCACAACAAGTCATGCAAGTGCAATGATGCAATCCTATCAATCATATCCCTCACTTTAGGGGAAATATTCAAGAGCCGAACCCGGCCTATCCCTCACTATGGGGGACGTAAGGAGCCAAAAGGCCTATCCCTCACTATGGGGGACGTAAAGAGCCAACCATCATGCATTAATGGAGGCCTTATCACGTGGTAGTAACAATCAAAACTCTCACCAATTCCCAATTCATGCATCATGCTCAATCCGTAATCAAGAGTAAATAATCACTTCACAAATAACTTCTTTCAGTGGCCTATCTTTCACAAGTTCCAAATTCATTCAATATCAATTGAAACCCTACAAGACGGTTTTCCTTTTTAATATACAACATATACTTTGAACACAGTTGTTACTCGGAGCACAAAACATAAATTCACTCACAATACTATAAAAGCATGTACAAAGGATTGAAAAGTGGTTACCTCTCGCCTGAGCAAGGAATAACAAACCGACAATACGGCCCCGTGCACCAACAAGTCTCACAACCGATCTACACAAGCACACAAACACACAACCATCATGTATTAGCTTTCAACTAATAATGTGGCCAAAACAACACTTGGGGACACAAAATTCCTAGCTCCAACCAAAACTCTACCCAACTAAAGAGGGTATAACCATCAAGGCACACTCCAAAGTCATAAAAATCCATTAAAACCTTAATTCCTTTCTAAACATCAATTAAAACTCATAACCTCAAGGACCCACTATAGGAATTCAACACCCAAACATCCCATTTGAACAATTGAAGTCTTAACAACATTCTAAACCGATTAAACATCCAATTTAACCCTCCTTAACATAACCCAAATCACAAAACTCAAAATCAACCTCTACATTATCATCCTCAATCACAAACCTCCCATTTCCATAAACCCTAGCTTCAAAAACTCAAAGTTCTTTAAATCCAAGAAAACTACACCGATTAAATACTTAGACTAACCCAAAGCAATCAACTAAACTCAAAACAATCGGTCAAAAACCTCAATTCCATAACAACCTAGAAAACTCTAGGGTTTCACCATAAATCCTCAGAAATTCCAAGAAAGAAAGTAGATTAGAGGTTAAAATCACTTACTTGAGGTAATGGATCCTTAGAAATACCTTTTCCAAGCCATAAAACCGAAACCCTAGCAGAGCTTCTCTCTCCTCCTTCAGATTTTCTAATTTTCGCACCAACAGACCCTCCCGTGACTATATAGATTCGGCACCTTTCGCCGCGGCGAACTAATCCCGAGAGGGATTACTCGCCTGAAAACCTGACTTCGCTGCGGTGAACTCCAATATTCGCCGCGGCGAAAGCTCCCTGAGAGGAAACTCTCGCTCAACCAGAAAACATTCGTCGCGGCATACCCCTACCTTCGCCGCTGCGAAACCTTCCTGAGAGGGAAACCTTGCTCACTTGAACAACTTCACCGCGGCGTCCCTATGACTTCGCCGCGGCCAAACCTTCCCGAGAAGACACTCCCCTGGAACTCCCGGTTCGCCGCGGCGAACATACCCTGAGAGGGTCTGTTCACCTATTCCTCCAACATACCTCAATTCCAACCCAAACACCAAGATCAACATTAAATCACTAATCTATCCTCAAAATCAACCAAAAAGAGGCTATTAAAACCTGATAAAACTTAGGATGTTACAGAGCCCACATGAGGTCTTCTTGGAGATGGACGTCCTCTAACTCTACCCAAAGGCTTTTCTGAAGATGTTCAAGGGAAGAGGTAGTGCCAGATTTTGCTATAGTTCGAGATATACCCTCCAAACGTCCCATGAGCAAGGTCTTTTTTTCCCCCTAGGTGCCCGTAAGTGTCTTTGCTCCAGTTGCCAAGGGCTAAAACCAGGTTGTTAATGTTCTCTTTCCAGTTAGAGTTAGTGTCCCAGCTATCCTTCACTAGTCCGCTAAAGTCATCATGCAACACCCAGTGCGCATTAAATCAAAATGGCCGAATTACATGTTTGAATGACATACCAGGGCGCAATTAAAGCAGAAGAGGCCTGTGGTCAGATTTGAACCATGGGAGGTGTTTGACAATGACATTTGGGAAGGTGATTTTAGCGAAGGAGTTGGAGAAGACACGATCTATTCTACTCTAGCATCCTTCTCTTTTCCAGGCGTAGAATGGTCCTGTGCATACCATATCAGAGAGACGCATATCTTCCACCCACGTGCAGAGTTCTTAATCCACTGGGTTTGTGTGGGTTGCTTTTGACCTAGGTTTATGGGCAAACAGAGTACCATTAAAGTCACCACCTATAAACTAAGGGCAATTGTTACCTGGGTTTAAGTTCTGGAGTTTTAGCCACAGCGCACGTCTTTTTATTCTATTTGGGCTTGCATACACAGAGGTAATAAATAGTTTTTTGCTTCCTTTTTCTACTACTGAGTGAATGTACTACTCATCTGTTTCTAAAATAGTGATTTTGTATTCCATATCAGTCCAAGAGACCCATATTCCTCCTTGAAAGTTTTCGAGGTTCAACAGTTCATTATGGTCAAAGTTGAGCTTTCTTCCAATGCTTCGAGCTTTGTTGCTACTTGTCTTTGTTTCAAAGAGAGCACAGAAATTAACATTATAGCGTTTCTTCAGTTCGCGAATAAGGCCCAAGAAAGTTATGGACCCTGTCCCTCTACAGTTCCAAAATAAACAGTTCATGGGGAACTAACAGTAGGGGAGTTCTTGCTTATAGACCCCTTAGTTGGATTGCAGTTTTCTGTAGTGCACTCTTCTTGTTGTTCTTGCATGATCATGTCTTTGGAGTATTGCGAGATGTTGTTGCTGTCAGAGGTTTCTGGCATTTTGGCATTAGTCTCTCTGTTCTCCAGCTTGCTGGGCCCGAGTGTATTGCTCTCTTTATTTGTCCCTGGGTCCGTGCTATGCCCATCTTCTGCCATGTCCACGAGTGCCGCAAATGGATTTGGGGCTTGCAGAAGTTTGCTTTGGATTCCGAGGGAACAGGCCCAATGTTGATCTTGGTAAGTAGGTTTCGTTCGGGCTTCCCTTTTTCTCTGCCAGATGGTCCTCCCTTGTTTTTCCTTGATTGGTCCAACGAGACCCACCTCAATCTATTAGTTAATTCCTTCCTAAATACTCTGGGGCTTCCGCTATTTACTTGCATGTCTGTTGCTCCTTCTTTCCCATTTTGGGAGTCAGATCTTCCCAATTGGCGAGAATCTCGCCTATTGATTTTGGTGATACTCGATTGCTTATATCTCTTCGGCATATTGGTGCCTGTCTCGACATTTTCAGTGTTTCCATTTTTTCTACCTTTGGACAGGTGCACAAGGTTCCACCTACCGATACCCTCTGTTCTCGCTGTCGCCACTGCACCCACCTATTCGCCAGCAGTTGTTTCTTCTCTGTCTCACTTCTCAGCAGTCTTCATGGGTCGTTTTGGTTCTTGCAGCAATTCACCCTTGGCGTTCTGTTTTCTTTCGATGCTGTTACCTGTATCAGATGTCTTTGTTTCCTCTATGTCTGCTCTCTTATTCTAGTTCTGCTTGATGTTTCCCATGGCAGGTTGCTCGTTCTCTTCTGGGCACACATCTTTGTGGTGGTTGTATTTTTCGCATCAAAAGCATATTAGGTGGAGCCCTTCGTATTTTATGACTCGACGTTTTCCAAAGATCATGATTCCTGACTTTATTTTTTTCTGGAGGTTTAGCTTAACGCAAATTCGGGCAAACTGCTCCCTCTTGCCTGTGTAAGTGATCATGTCGACCTTTAGTGTTTTTCTGATGAGCCTGCCAATCTTCCTTAGGCTTTCAGTGTTAAAGAATTCAAGGGGGAGTATTGGAATTCTAATCCAGGCTGCGATTTTTTTTTCCTGGACTTCGGCACCTTAGGGGTCGAAATTTGGTCTCCATCTTTGCACAATGAGGTACCTGTCTGCAATCATCCAAGGACCTTCCTGGTAGATGTGGTTCATGTTGGCCTCATCCTTGAATGATATGACAAAGAAGCCATTGTCTAGGTCTCAGGTAGTGTAGGGGCTGGGTGTTTTCCAGATGCGTGCAAGGTTCAATTTCATTGATCTCAGTGATATGGTTTTCCCCAGTAGCTTAATTATCAAGGATTTTCGCCACGGCGCACATTAGTGTTCATATTCTTTGTTTGTGATCTTCAAGACTGGGCAGTTGTCTTCTTCTTCATTTTGTACATTCTCATCTTCCTTCCCAGTACTAAAGTAGCCCTTTAGCCCTTCAATGTAATCATTCCAGGCCTCTTCGAAGACTTTACTCCCTTTTTTGTCCGTGGAGCACGGTTTAAGTTCATCACCCATGAGTTTGTCCTTGAACGAGCTGCTTTCGTCCTCCTGTTGTTCGGTCTATGACATCCCCAAAGAGGGTTTAAGGTGCCTCTTGAATCTTTTCTTTTTTTGTCGTGCTAGGTCTCTGTCATCCGCGGTGGTCCTGTCGATCTTGGAGAGAGTTTCAGAGTCGTCCTTTATTCACGTCTTGTTGTTAAAGCCAGATTATTTAAGAATTTATTTGAATTTATAAAATTGACTTCGGACCTTAAAAGTGCAGGAATCAATTTTAAAATATTTATTACTGAAATCTTATAGATAAAATTCTATTTCAGAAAAAATTTAAAATAAATAGTCACTGATTAGTTTTTATTTCCTTTATCAAAGTTAAATTTTCCTGAATGTGACATTGATCCTCTGCGTTTGGTTTTCGGCGAAGTTAGTGACGCGTAAAACGCATGGATAAGGCTTTCTGAAAAAGCGCCTGAGGGTCAGATATCAGAATCTGAAAATCCAACAGTGGCGGACAGGGAACCTGAAAAAAGCCAGTGATGACGACGGAGACCGACCCGTCGTTGACTATTCTTCACGGTGCTGTGATCGTAACCATGGACGGTGATAGCCGAGTGTTTCGGGACGGGGCCATCGCCATTGAAGGGCACCAAATCAAAGCCATTGGCCAGTCTTCCCAGATTCTTCACCAATTTTCTGCTTTCGCCACCCAGATTATTGATCTCCACGGCCACATCTTACTTCCTGGTCTATTCAATTCCCTGTTTCTTTTCCCTCTCTGTTCTTCATCATTTTATTTTTTTCTCTACGCTTTTTTAAAGCGTCGGATAGATAGCTTTTTTGAATGCGAAATCCAATATTAGTTAGCATGGGAATTTTGTTTCGTTTGGAGCGATTCTCAGGTACTTGGCGAGATAGTGTGCGAGAATCGATATTCGCGGAGATTTTGATTCTTTTTAAAATACACAAAATTCTAAAGAGAAAGTTAAAAAGTTCAGTTAAACAAATAGTAACTACTCATCCATTCTAAATTGGCACTGATCGGTCATCTCATCATTTGCTAATAGGATTCATTAACACTCACGTTCACACTTCTCAGCAACTAGCTAGAGGCATAGCTGATGATGTTGATTTAATCACCTGGTTGCACGGTCGCATTTGGCCATACGAATCCCATATGACCGAAGAGGATTCTTACATTTCCACTTTGCTATGTGGGATCGAACTCATTCACTCTGGTGTAAGCTTCAACATTTCCCGTTTTTCCACGGGATTTTGTTAATGCAATCCTGTCGAAGAGGGAGTTGTTACTTATGCATAAATGCAACATGTTAAATTCATTTATGTGATTTCTCCCTAAATTCAGGTTACATGCTTCGCTGAAGCTGGAGGGCAATATGTTTCTGGAATGGCTAGAGCAGTGAAACTACTGGGCTTACGTGCATGTTTGACCCAGTCAACCATGGATGCTGGTGAGGGTTTGCCGGCATCTTGGGCAGCTCGAACTACTGATGATTGTATTCAGGTAAATCTAATCCTGCTTCAGGTTGTCCATATTCTTGGCATCGGGATACTTCGAAGTTTATCTACAATAATTGACTCGTGGAAGCTGTATCACTGGTTACTCTGTTCTGCAGTCTCAGAAGGAGAATTATGATAAGCATAATAATACAGCTAATGGGCGCATCAGAGTTTGGTTTGGAATAAGGCAAATTATGAATTCTACTGAACGCTTGCTCCTTGAGACGAGAGATGCAGCAAGAGACCTGAAAACCGGAATACACATGGTATTGACCTCTCTCTCTCTCTCGCTTTCTCTTTCACACACAGTGTATGCATTTTGGTAGTGTTCATCTAACATGCCAGTTAAGGTGTAATATATGTTGAATTAAACTTGACTTTTAGCATGTTGCAGAGATACCATATGAGAATCAACTAGTCATGGATGCTCACAAAGTAAATCATGGAACTGTTACATACTTGAAGAAGATAGGTTTCCTGCAAAACAATCTGTTAGCAGCTCATACTGTCTGGGTTGATGGTAGTGAGGTAATTTGATGTTATTGTAATTATGCTACTATTGAATATTGATCCAACAAGACTCAGTTCATTTATGAAATTTTTGACAGTGTGCCAGATGCGTATGCACACATACCGTGGATCTTAAGTGCCATAGAAATTTTTGGGAAATAATTCTTTAACCTTTCTAAAATATGGTCCTTTTTTGTTTGTATGAGGTTTTTTGTGTCTAAATTTGGTTATGTAGTTTTTATTGTTGATTATATTTTAAACTCCACTTGCATGTAACCTTTTCTTTTCCTTGAAATTTCAGTTTTCTTTCGAGTGTGTGGCTATTTCCTCTAGCTTCCAAAGTAATTAATAGTTTAATATTATTTAAAACAGATAACCATTTCTTGAGCTGTGTGCTATATGTCAGTAAATTTTACAACTTAATAAATTAACTAGGAAAATAAAACCAAGCTAATAATGTGGAAAATAAACTGGCAAAAGAACAAATATAGTTGTGTGTGGAGATCAATTGTCCTTTCCCCTGGAATATTTGAATATTCTGTCTAAATAACAATTATTCATTGTTCAACATGATGACCATAACATTTTCAGATATCGTTCCTCTCAAGGGCAGGGGTCAAAGTGTCTCACTGTCCTGCTGCTGCAATGAGAATGCTTGGATTTGCGCCTGTAAAGGAGATGCTCGATGCTGGCATCTGCGTCTCCTTGGGAACTGATGGGGCACCATCAAACAATCGAATGAGCATTGGTTCATTTTAACTCTTAACCTTCAAATTCTTTGCTTTGTATCGATTCTATATCACTAGGGTGGCTCCTGTACGCAGGTCTACTTTTCTTATGATAGTTTCATATTGTAGTTTTTATCGGATCAGTGAAACGCATACTTTAGTACTCACTGAAATAGCGCCAGTTGCAAATATTCTCTAGAAAAATTGAATGTAACGCACTCACAAAAATGCTTGACATATTTTACTGACTTTAAATGTTTATGTATTTATCTCATTTTTAGTTGACGAGATGTACATAGCGTCTCTGATTAACAAAGGACGGGAAGTTTATGCAAAGGGAACTACAGATCCAATGGCGTTTCCTGCTGAGACTGTTCTGAGAATGGCTACTGTCAATGGCGCAAGGTCAATATTATGGGACGATGAACTAGGGTCACTTGAGGTTGGTAAGAAGGTTGGTGTCCGGCTCTCTTTTTACTGTAATCATCTCTGTTGTTTTCATTTTCCCCTTTTCCTCTCGATTTAAGTTAAAAATTAAAATATTTATTTTTTGAGAGTGAGCCGAATGCATAGTGATTTTCACTGAGGCACGGAAAAGAACTGAACAAATTTTGCTAATAGCGTCCGCAAGCGGTTATGCAAAAGGAAACTCTCAATATTTCATTGTGCGTCAAGTAGGATTGACAAAAGAACCGAAAAGAGGCTCATTATTCATCCGTAATTAGGGATTAGCATGTGTCTAAGAACTCTTATAAAGAATGAAGATAAATTAAGAGGACTATTCAGAGGATTATGTGATCATAAGCTGGAAGTTTATCTAAATTCACACAACAAAGAGAACTAAAATGCTTTGGCATTTAATTTGGTAAATGCTGGCTCAATTTCTACATTATCATTCTGTCCTTTCGGGGTGTTAGCATTCTGTCTTAGGTTCTCACTGGCCATTGAGGGTGGGCTGATCATGTTTGTGTTTGTTTTTTGGTAGGCTGACATTGTAGTAGTCAATCCTTCATTATGGCCTATGGTTCCTGTTCATGACTGGTATGAACCTATTCTTGATTCAAATTTTTACCTAGTTACTCTATTTATTTCCATTTTATGGTCCACTATGTTTTGTAGTTGATTAATATTTCATTGTTCCCCCAAAATGCAGTATATCGAACATCGTATATTGCATCAGAACGGAAAATGTGGTTGCTGTCATGTGCAATGGGGTATGGATAATGAAGGACAGGAAAATTCAAAATGTTGACGAGGTATCCATTTTGATTATGCCTTAATTAGAACCGGGTGAATAGATGATGTTAGAGTAAATTGATAAGAAAAGATAAAGATATAATTAACGTTACGTCTCGTAAAACTGAAATCTTATTAGATAGGGGCTAAACACGGTGGTGGAGTCAGAGTTGAAGAATAAGGATGTTGAGATCTAAGTTTATAGGAATGAGGTACTAAAATATCTCAGAAATATACACAGGGAAGAATCCAGTGCTCAGAAGATTTTGTTGGCTCTAAAATATCTTGGAAGTTTAATTTCGTAAATATGGCCTGGAGTTAACAGTCAATAATGTACCTTTAATACTAACCTTGTTTGACAAGATTTACAACTTAATATTCCCTCCTCTCCACCTCATCTCCTTCCTCTTTCTTCTCAATCGGCTTCAACAACCCAGACTGTCTTCTTCTTTCCCTTCCCTTCCCTTCCTTCCTTCCTTCCTTCTTCAACCCAGATCCTGGCGATCGCAATGCTCTGCGTTCCCGTGGACGACTTGCATTTCACGTCAAACGTGATGGACCTCGCCTGCGGCAGCGTTTCGAACATGAGCGTCTCGTTCCACGAGGGATTTCCCCGGCATCGTCCGCCGTAGCCCTACAATGTGGTGGAACAGTTGCGGGTCGCCTCCCGGACTTTGACAAAGACGTTCTTCGTGACCGGCTTTCGGTCTACTCTGAGGCCCTCCGCCGACAGAACCTTGATCTTTAGAGTTCGCGATCCTGCGGGCACTGACATTTTAAATGAAAACAATGAGACGCGTTTCTTTGGTTCAACGCAGAAATGGCAGAGCAAACGTGTGCCAATTGGGTCCCTGCTTAGATGGCCGGCCCTCATGCCCTGTTAACTCACATCGTCACCAACCTTCGCCAAAAATTTCCTTGCGATGATGAAGGTAACCGCAATTTTCAAACTCATCTCCAGATTCTCTTTTCTCTTGCATCCATCACAGATTCATGTGAAATCATGTTTAAGGATCTAAATTTAATTCCTACCGATCTTACAATTTTGTAAATCCCACGACTATTTTGATTCTGTGGCAATTTTTCCTTCTTGAAGAAAGAGGATTCTAGATACAAAATGCCTTATTGGTTATCTTTATTTTGGGACCAGGATTATTTGAATTGTGCAGTAAATGACGCTCATTTTTGTTCTGGTTCTTATTTTCATGGCTTTGGGGTAGTGATTTAATTGAAATAGGAGACGAAGAGGAAGGTAGTGAGGCGATGTGCCGACGTCCCTGGTAATGATCGTGTGTCCCTTCGATCTGGCCAAAGCTTCTCTCTTGCTTGTGTTTCATCTCCTTCTGACTTTTCCATGGCTGTGTGTTGGAAGGGATTGAAGGGAATAAATTATTTTAGTTTCAGAGGAAGGGTGGATGGGGGAGAGAGAAAGGGAGAGAGGAAGTAAACTTTTCCTGAGAAAGAAAGAATGAAAGAAAGAGAAAGAACAGAGGAAGAAAACGTGTCTCAATTTTTTCTCTAACTTGGCAGCCATGTCAGCATAAGTGGGTTAAAAAGGAAAAAATTAACGGTCAAACTTGGTCAAACTTAACATCATCTAATTTTAGAATATATTTGCTATGAAATTAAATTTTTAGGATATTTTAAAGCTGAAAAAAACTTGGGATGCTAAGTGTTCTTTAGTATAAACTTTCGAGATATTTTAGTACCTCATTCTAAGTTTATATTGATTCTGAGGGCCTGGGCATTGGCAGCACGTATATAATTCTAAGGGGAAAAAAATAAAAGTCGCTGGGGCAATGATCATAAAACTGAACCGAAGCGAACCAAGCAATCCAACTAGTTGAATGGTGCGTCGACTGGACTCGATAGTGACCCATGGCCCAAGAAAAGATAGTGACCCAGTTTCGACCAAAAAAGCCAAATTGAAATGGAGTTGAGCCACTATTGAGACCGAATAGAAAGCCATATGAGAATATAAAGCCATGGGCTTTTGGTCTGATGAAAAAGTAAAAAAAAAAAAAACTTAAAAACCTATGAAAAAGATTGACTATCTTCAAACGCCATTGTATTTTCAACTTATTAGAAGCTGTTAATTCATTAAAAATTTCATATATTGCGGTGTTTTTATATTGAGAATTAGATTTATTATGGATTTATTTCACACACACACACATATGCATATAATTATTTTTTATTAAACTTTTATTTAATTATTGTTATTGGTTTGACATCCATTCGAACTTGTTGGATCATGACAATTATGAAATGTTGGTCTTTTCGGTTCTACTTTTGATAGTCTTACAGACCACTGCTTTGGGCGGCATATGACCAGTCCTCCTCTTCACCACTGGCTTGGCACACGCCCAAATTGTTGAAATATTTATTCAACGTTGCCTTGTAATATTGTTGAACAGATGATCAACGCTTTCTCTAATTTCATTCTAACAAGTTTGGTTTGCTTTTCGGACCTGACAGGAAGCAGTTATTTCGAAAGCGAAAGCGGCTTCTGTTGAACTGCTAAAGAGGGCAGGCATAAGATTGCCACCGAGAATGAACGTCATTTGATTGTCGTTTGGCTCACAGAATTGTCTGCAATTAGCATTATTTGATGACACTGGTTTTTATCCTTTGCAGATTAGTCTGATGTATGAAATACTATCTCCGCTCCTTAATATAAAAACTAATTTGGCATTCAATTTGATCATGAATATAATACTCAAATTCACTTTGTCTCTTATATTTATCTTTTTTTAAAAGGTAATCCTTGTTGTAGCTGCATATGTTAAAGATTTCATCAAATGATAGTTTTAACTAATAGACATGATTAGCAAGAATATTTTAGAAAAGATAGTATATATTTATTACAGATAACTAATTTAACTAATTTATTTAATTTAATTAAATTAGTAAACATACTCTTGTACTAAAGACCAGAAGAAATGTTTAAAATTGCACGCAATCCATTTTAAGCAATAACTCCCTAAGTCTACATTGTTTTATGTATGCTGTTGTGTTGGCCAATATTCATGAAACTGTGTGAGAGGCTCAGCGGGTCGATGTCTTGACCTTGTACATTTATTTTATTAAAAAAATAAAAATAAAGGCGCATCTAACATTTTTAATTATTTTTGGAGGCCCCAGCATCTTAAACTATTTCTCAGTATAATTTTGCCCCTGATCTATTAAAAATGGAGCAATTTCACATGCGTATTAAAAAAATAAAACGAAGAAAAGCTCAACCCTCCTCAACACAACACGATCCCTCCTTCGGATTTGCATTGGGTGCTCATCAAGCTGATGAGCACCCAGTGCTCATCAGGATCTGGACCGTCCAGATCCAATCTGGACGGTCCAGATTTTATTTTATTTTTATTTTTATTTTTTAAAAATTATTATTTTAATAAGTATAGAATAAAAAATAAAGATAATCTCTTAACTATCATACTTTTAAAAAATAATTTTTTCTATTTTAAAATAATTATTTTAAAATATTAAATATGGACCGTCCAGATTAGATCTGGACGGTCCAGATTTCTCATCACTTGATGAGCACTGGGTGATCATCAAGTGATGAGCACCGAATGCAGGCCCTCCCTCCTTCCCATTACCGTCTCCACCATCTTCTTTGATGATCGAGTAAATGCGACAATGGCCTCCTTCGTAGCAACAGCAGTGGCGATAGCGACCTTCTCCATTGAGCGACGACCCATCTTCAGTCTAGACTCTAGCAGCCTGATGCAGGTGAATGATGGCGACATCTTTCATCCAGCGACGGCAACCTCCGGTGAACGATGAGATCTGGGGAGGAGACGAAGATTGGTGGGGTATGTGATTTGAAGAATAGCAACAATGAGATCTATGAATTGATTTTCTTTCTCTGTTCTTGTGCCATTCCATTTCCAAATCAAGTTATGAGTTCATCAAACATGTAAAGACCTAAAATATTTAGTTTCTTGGATTTTCTAGATTCGAAACAGGGAGTTTAGATTGGTAACTTCAATTCTTGATCTGATGCCATCGCCCCTTCTTTATCTGTTTCTACAGTGAATGAGTTTTTTTTTGTTTTTTTTTATTTCTCCATTTATCGAAGATTTTCTTCGCTCATTAACATCAAAGTAGTGATTAGCTTGTTTGAATGAGGTGTTGATAGCAATGTAGCGATTTGCTTCCATGGTTCTAAGTGCTTCAGTTTAACTAAGATGAGATGGATTGGGATCCAGATCATATGGATGTTTTTTTTTTTTGGTGATACACAGGTGGCAATTCGTGTCATTACTAAAAAAAATATAAATATTCGGCTGTCAAACAGAGTTAGGGTTCCGTTAGTGAAAAAGTATAAATGCTCCTCCATTAATACATTAGGGGTGAAATTGCACCTTTAAATAGTTTAGGATACTAGATGCATCTCCAAAAATAATTCAGGACACTAGGTACACCTTAACCAATAAAAAAAAAAAAAACTAGACAACACATTCTGCCAACTTATAACAAGTTCGGTTTTCTAAGAAAATGAATGTAAATAATGCATTTGAAAATATGCTTTTAATTTTGTTAAAATATAGTCTGAACTATCTAAATTCAAAATTTTTAAGTTTAAATTCTTTTAAATGATAAATATATTTTTAAGAACTGACAGGTATAAAATTATTATTTTATTTTTTATCTATTAAAATTTTTAATATTTTTATTCTGTTATCTATTTTTATTTATTTTTATCTACTAAAAATTTATTATAATTAATAATCTATAATACACTCTAATGTAATAGCCTCTTAAGATTAGGGGTATTTTGGCACTTTCATTAAAAATTATATGATGTTTGATGAACTTTTGGTATGAGTTTATAAGTATCTTTTTACATTTAGCTTTTTTTTGTTGTTTTAATTGAGAGTATTTTGATACTTTTATTAAAAGAAATTATAAGTCCCACTACGTTTCATCATTTTAACGACACTAACATTATTGAGATGTTTTTAAACTTGAATTAGTAGATTTGAGCCAAAAAAAATTCATGATGTTGGGTAAACTTTTGGTATAGTTTTGTATTTTTGACCTTTAACTCTCTATACACATGTATAGGGTGTGTAAAGGTGGTACACAAATGTCCATAAAATACGTTTAGCATGTGATACAATTTTAGCCTGTTTCTTTTGGTAAATAACAAGTTACTTATTAACCTAAAAAATAGTGTAAAATTTCACAATCCATAACGGATGTATGATGCCCCTTAAACAAAGGGTTTTCTCGTTATGGAAACCCATAACTCTTATTCAATAGACATTCGGCTTTCATTAGGGTTTGATTGTTTGAAACCAAGGGGTTTGATTATTTTTACATTATAAATAAAATTGTAATATAATATCAGTAACTTCTCACAAAATATTTTATGCATAACCATAGTATCTTATTTCATACTTTTACATTAAATGGTGCGAATTCACAAGAAAAAGATCTCACGAACCCACAACCAATATAAAATATACTTATCCCCAAGAAAGCTAAACAAAGGTCTAGTGATCCACTTACCCTTGACATGGAAGAAAAAGGACCTAAAGGTTTTCCACTCATCCCCTTCCCTCATTCGAATTTGATGGTATTCAGATTTCAAATCAATCTTAAAAAAACAATAAAACCGTACAATTCATCAAATATATCATTTAATCTAGGAATGGGATGGTGATACTTTATAGTGATATTGTTGACAGCTTTGCTATCAATGCACATCCTCTAAGTTCCATCTTTCTTTGGCACTAGAAGTATTGACACTACACAAGGACTCAAACTTTCTCGAATATATCCTTTTACCATAAGCTCTTTCACTTACTTTTGAAGCTCTTTTGTTTCTTTTGGATTACTTTTATAGGCTGATCTATTAGGAATTATTGTTCCTAGGATAAAATTAATTTGATGTTCCATTCTTCTTATCGGTGGTAAATCATGTGGTATTTGTTCAAAAAGTACATCATCAAATTCTTGCAATAAAGAACTAGAAAAAAAGAGTTAAAGTCATTAGTGTTCAAAAAGGATTTCTTGTAAACAAAGAGAAGTAAATGCTAGTCAGCCAAAAAAACAGTCCTCACTCCTCACTTCACTTCCTTTTGTATAAAAACTCAATTTCTTCTTTTCTTTTCTCTCTTCACTCCTTTCTTTTTCTTTTTTTAGTTTCTTTTCTAGAGCTCTGAACAATTTTCTCCTTTTCGCTCTCACTTCTTTTTTATTTTTCTCTCTCATTTTTCAGTTCACACTTTTTTTTCTCATCTTGAGTTGATCCTCATATACTTGTTTTGGAGTCAATGGTACAAGAGCGATGGGCTGCTGTTCATTACAAAAAAATATCCATTGGTAAACCCATCTTTCTTCACTTTTCTATCAAACTCTCAAGGTCTTCCCAAAAGTAGATGTTCAGCATGCATAGGAACAACGTCACACAATACTTCATCACAATATTTGCCAATTGAGAAAGAAACTAGAACTTGCTCATCAACTTTAATTTCTCCACATTTATTCAACCATTGCAACTTGTATGGTCTAGAGTGTTTAATAGTAGGCAAATTCAACTTCTCAACCAATGTAGTTCTTGCAATATTTGTAATACTCCCACCATCAATAATCAAACCGCATATCTTGTTATTAATCAGGCAGTGAGTATGAAAAATATTTTCCCTTTACTTATTCATCTCATCTTCTTTCATTTGACAACTCAAAGCTCTTCTAACCACAGGACATTCTCCTTCCATATCATATTCAATCCCATCATCACTAGCATCCTCAAGTGAGGGCATGGACTCATCACTTTCACTTTTAGTCACAACCTCATTACTTTTCAAAATCATGATTCTCTCACTGGGGCATTGAGAAGCCATATGACCTGTACCCAAACACTTGAAATATTTTATATCCCTATTTCTAGAAGTTTGGGAATTTGATTTACCTTTGCTTTTTGATGAAGCTTTTTCTTTGCCTTTAGTGGTCTCCTTTTGGATAGTTCTTTCTCTTTGCTTTCAATTCTATTTGAAAGAATAACTTGATCCAAAATGAAAATTTGGAGCACCTTTATGCTTGATTTATTTTTCCACCTTAATGGCCATATGCACTATGTCTTCTAGCTCCACAT